CAACGGCGGCTGGGTGTGGGGGATGTACGGCGACGCAACATTCGGACTGTACAGCAGCGCCGGCTGCTACGATTTCGAATCCTGGATCCAGCACAGCGCATCGGAGTTGGCGCTAGGGGAGCAGGCGGCGGCGGCGGGAGGCATTTACCGTACAGGAGCCGTCGAGTCCACCACAGCTACCGCCGGGGTCCATGCCGCCAGTACGGCCGACGACGAACCCGGCGGCGGCACCACAGCCGCCACCGTGGCAGCTGCGGTGATGGCGCCGCCACTGCCGCCAGGTACGTCGTACAACCACAAAAACGGCAATGATGGCGGCGGCGGCGGCTTAAGCAGCAGCGATGAAGAGATGGAGCTCACCGCCATTATCCGTGCATTTGGCTGCAGCACCACTGGGCCGTACGACAATGTCGTAAATGACGGTGGTGGCGGCGGCAACAGCGACGGCAGCGGCCCCGACACGCCGGTGCTGGCATCCCGCGGGACATCTAGCTCGTCTTGGACCTCGTTCCTGGAGGCCGCAAACAGCCACCCGTCGCTCCTCTCGCCGCCGCGCGTCCCGACCAGCCCTGGCGGCGGCGCCGCCGGTGGTTGGATCTCCAGGGATCCCCTGCCTCATTCAAGACCTGCTGCTGCAGCTGTCGTCCCAGCCGCCGCCGCCGCCGCCGCCACTGGTGTCTCTACTGTCGGCCGAACAAACGATACTACATTGAAACAATCCGCGTCGACGCGTCGTGACGGCCGCGGCATCGACGCTTTCAGCCGTGCAGTACAACTGGAGCCGGATGTGCAGCTCGATACGGTGAACACCGCCGCCAGCTTGGATGCCGTTCTTCCCGGGTCGGCGGCGTCGGAGTCGGCGGCGCCGGCGGTGTCGACAGTATCTGTCGTTGCCAATGCTGCCAATGCTAGCTCTCCCGGTGTGAATGCTGCCATTGAAGCTGTCGCTGCGGCGGTCCACAGGTCCCAGCGCCGCTCGGTCAGTCTCCGACGGCGGGGCGAGGGCTCGTCGAGACTCGCCAATGCGAGCGGCCCAGGGGCGGTTGGTACGAATGGCAGCTTACGTGAGCAGGAGTTCATTGATGGTTGGGTTGTACGACAGGATATGGGTAGTAACTTGGATAACAGGAATGAGGAGGAGAAGCACACAGCGGCGGCTCGGCGGGTGTCACGCGGGGGCCTGCCAGCGACCCCTGGGTCAGTCCTTGGGGAGTCGGTTACCCATGGGTCGAGCAGTGTGAAGTCGGCTGGCGCATCACTCGGGATGGCCAGGACAAGTACAGCAAACTCTGTGTCGAGTAACCGCGGTTCTGAAACAGCAACCCGTGGGTCTGAAGCCGTCCCGGAGCAGGCGACCCGTGGGTCGACAGGTGAGGAGGCAAACGCACAAGGGCGACAGGTTTCTGAATCCATTTCAGCAACGAAATCCAGATCCAAATCCAGGAAGGAATCTGTTCGGGCTGCAACCCAGCAAATGCAGATCAGTACACCAGAATCACCCTCGCCGACGGCAGCCGCCACAGCAGCTCCTGTGCCGCTGCCGCCGCCGCCGACGGCGCCGCCACCTCCACCGCCGCCGCCAGCTCCGCCGACTCCCCCCGTACAACATCCCGCTGGCGGCGGGGGAGATTCGATAAAGCCATCGGTCTTGTCGCCGTTTGCCGTCCCGGTGGTGGCCGGTACGGCAACCATGGAGGCAGAAGACGAAGACCCGTTGGAGCTCGCTGCCGTACAGCCGCCGAAGCGCGGCCTGCTGGGACTTGCCAGCTTATTGCGCCGCTTCAACGCTAGCATGGAGGGCCACAGTCGTGATGGGCCCGGTGGCGGCAGCGGTGTCGGGACCCTTCAAACGGTCAGCAGCGTCCCAACTCACGTCACAAGCACCTCCGCAACCATTGCCACCGCCTCCGTCAGCGGCGGCGGCAACAGCGGGGGCGGCGGTGCCGCCCACGGGCAAGTGATAACCAGCGGTGGAGACCTCGGCGGCAGCGGCGGCAGCGCCGACCCGCCGGCAGCGGCGGTGGCAGGAGCGCGCCGCTTGCATCGTTACGCCTCCGTCGGCCGCAGCCGCGGCGCAAATACGGCACCGTCGAGCCAGATTCGACGGCAGGGCGGGGAGGCTTCCACTGCCTCCGCCGCCACCGCCGCTGGCGGCGGCAGCTACGACCCATTTCTGTCCACGGCGCCCGCGTGGCTGATCGCCAGGGCATCTCGCGATCAGTGGCAGCGCCGACAGGTTCTGACGGACGAGGTGGTAGGGAGGGCGCTGCAGACGCTGGCACTGGCGCTGGATGCGGAGCGAGACGCAGCAGCGACCCATGGGTCGGACTTCCTCCTCCGGGCCCGTGGATCGAGTCAGGGCGGGCGGCTTTCTGCGGCGCCCTCGGCAACGGCAATGCAGACTTACGCCTCCGCGAACACGTCCCAGCGCGGTCGCGGTGGCGGCGGTGACGATGGCGGCGGCGGGGGCGGCGGCGGCGGAGCTCGGCAAGCGGCACTGAACGGAGACGGCGGGGGCGGACGACCGACGGCGGCGTCGCCGCAGTCGCTGCCTCTGTCGGCCGGACATCTGGGAATGCTGCTGGGGCTGCTTGACTCTGTCGTACGACGGTTAGGAGTCGATGCGCTTCCGGCGGTGCGAGACGCCGTACGGGCACGCGTACAGCAAGTGGAAGTGCGACTTGCGATGGAGCTGCGTGCCGCTTTGGAGTTCCTGAAGCAAACCGAGAAGCAGGTGGATGAGGAATGTACCGCACGTGCGTATGTATGTATGTAAGCATGCTAAGTAGAGACATTGAGGATTTCCGTATCCTCACGACTGTCAAAACACACACATACTCATACAGCGCGTGCCACAGCGCGTGCTGAGGTTGGTCGTTTGAGGGCCCTGGTAGCCACTCTTTCCTCTTGACAAAAGGGGGAAACGCGGGGGCCCACGCCCTCGGTCGAGCACGTGGGGATAGTGGTCCCTCACGCGCCTCTCCCCCCACAAGGAAGGAGAGTGTTTCGGCGGTCGCTCCCGTTGGGGTTTTTACGGTTAGATGCCCCTGGCCAGCGTCAGGTATGGATCGATATGTAACAAATACACACATACATACATACATACACACGCACACGGCGAGGCACACATGCCCGATACGCAACGCGCGTGTTGAAATGCGCTTGTACGAACTCGCACTCCTAAACATACCACCTCACCATCGCACCAACCACGGCCTGGTAGCGCTGTCTAAATGCCGCATCTTCTGCCGTACTTATCGTACTACAACACGCCGTGACCTTATCCTGGTTGTCAACTGGGTTTAGTCACCGATGCCGCCACGCCGCCACTGCAGGTGGATGGCCTGGACGACTTGGCCGCCGCCGCCAAGCGGCGACTGGCGGCGATAGAGGAGGCCGCCGCGGAGGCAGCAGGAGACGGCGTACTCGCCCCCAATTTGCTCGGTCTTCTGGACACCGAGACAGGCCTTAACATGGCGATTGAGCATCTGCGACAGGCGGCAGTTTCCGGCAGCTCCTTGGTTTCGGATTCGCTGCTAGCGTCGGCGTTACAGTCCCTTGGCGGTCCCGGCGGATTTAGTGGCGGCGGTGGCGGCGGTAGTGGCGGCGGTGGCGGCGGTAGTGGCGGCGGTGGCGGCGGTAGTGGCGGCGGCGGCGGTAGTGGCGGCGGTCGCGCTCATGCCTTCGACTGGACGTCCCTGGGCCGCCAGGGTAACGGGATTGTACGGCATTGCAGTCATAGCTCGGCGCTGTCGGAGGTTGCATCGGGATCCGCGACGGGGTTGTCGGCAGCGGCGGCGGCAACGGCAGCGGCGGCGGCGGCGGCGGCGCCAGATCGCGGCGTCGGGTCTCCGACGCCGTCGGTTGAGCGTCGTGCGTCTCGACGGTCTTCGGTAAATCTCCGGTCCGCTTCGACTAGCGGTTTGACGCTGACGGATATCAAGCCGCCAGTGGTGGCGGCGGCGGCGGCGACGAGAGGCCCTGTACGACCCCCGGTTTCGGGGCCGACGACGTCGATAGCACGACGGCGGTCCGTGGACAGTGGTTGTCAGATGTTGGCGCAGCTGGGGAGGAGCGATTTTAGCGCTCTACCGGAGCTGCGTCGTGCACCTAGCGTCGGAAGCGAACCCAACGAGTGCCTGGGGCTCGGAGCTGCGGTACGGCGCTCGTCCACGGAGCGCCAACGCTCCATGACCAACTCCTCTGCCGCCGCCATGCTTCAGCCGTCGGCAGCGGCGGTGGCGGCCGTCGCCGTCACCGGCGGCGGCGGCGGCCCCGGTATCACAGTGACCACCGCGCCTCAGGCCTCGGAGCTCAAGGCCGGAATGGACCCTGCGTCGCCGCCGCGCCCGCCGACGCTTTCAGCAGCGGCGGCAGGAGCAGCGGCGGCGGCGGCGGCTGCGCAGCCGGCCGGCCCGGTCACGTCATCCCGTACATCCATACCCGGCCAATTGACACCCGCGGGTCCGTATTGCCCTTTACCGCGGGCTACGGGGGGTGCCCAAGCCCTGGCGGCATTGCCGCGGCAACGGCTTGGCGGCGGCGTCGCCAGGGCTGCCGTGCTGGACGACAGCATCGTACAGGACCCTTGCAGCGGCGCCGCCGCCGGTCGGCCGCCGCAGCGGACGTTACTGCCGTCGGAGCGACCCGGGGCGCGGCGCTCGCCGGGGCGCAACCCGGAATTGCCCGCCGTCGCCGCCTCCGCCAGTGTCGCCGCCTCCGCCGCCAGCCTCGGCAGCGCCACGACGGAGCTCTCCCTCTCCGCCAGCGGTGAGCCGTTCAAGGTGGCCCTCCGCCGAGGCAGCAACCTCGCCCTGCAATCGCAGCCGTCAGGATTGGGCGCCGCCGCTACCCCCTCGCAGCTCCCCGCTGTCGGAGCTGGCTCCGGAACCCAGCAGCAGCTGCTGCCGCCACCAACACAGCCGGCGGGACGTACGGCTGCGTCGCGCGCTGCCGCAGCAGCGGCTGCCGCCGCAGCCGTCGCGACATTGGCGGCGGATTTACCTGGCGGGGCAGCCGCTGCCGCTGGCAGCGGTGGCGGTGGCAGCGGAGCTCTTACAGCCAGGCTTCGGAGCAGCAGCGGTCTTCAAGGCGAAGGTGGCGAGTGTACGGGGTGGCCGATGTGCGGCCGAAGATGTGAGTGTACGGGGTGGCCGCCGTGCGGCCGAAGATGTGAGTGTACGGGGTGGCCGCCGTGCGGCCGAAGATGTGAGTGTACGGGGTGGCCGCCGTGCGGTCGAAGATGTGAGTGTACGGGGTGGCCGCCGTGCGGCCGAAGATGTGAGTGTACGGGGTGGACGCCAAGTCGGCGAAGATGTGAGTGTACGGGGTGGCCGCCGTGCGGTCGAAGATGTGAGTGTACGGGGTGGCCGCCGTGCGGTCGAAGATGTGAGTGTACGGGGTGGACGCCAAGTCGGCGAAGACGTGAGTGTACGGGTTGGCCGGCAAATGGCAGAAGATGTGAGTGTACGGGGTGGACGCCAAGTCGGCGAAGACGTGAGTGTACGGGTTGGCCGGCAAATGGCAGAAGACCTGAGTGTACAGCCTACAATCCGTAACAAGCAGTAAAAACCGCTTAACAGTCTCGGCTGTCCTGCAAGATATCCGGAGGCTTCCAACGGGCTATAGGGAAGAAAGTGAGCTGCACATGCATGGCGGACGTACGGATGGATGCATGAATGCGCTGCAGTGAATGAGCTCAGTGGTAAGATTAAAGAGGCATGATACAAAAGCAAGCACTTGCTATTGTCAAGAAGTTTTGTTCGCGGATGCAATCAAGCTCTGAAGGCCCGACCGAACCTTTTGCCCGGGGGGAAGAGGGACCGTCGCGGCGAAATGCTCCGATGTGATCGCTTTTGATGTTAATGTTGATGTGCACAACCTGATGGGTTTATGGCAATCGAGAACCACCGCACTTTCCGACAAGCGAGATCGCACCTTAGTAAGCGTTTGCCCATCTCAGCCTTTCGTGATTTTTTTATTGTAAGTCGACAGCGTATTCTGTTCTTCGGCCGATATTGATACTGGCGCTGGTGCTGTTACAGCTCTTATCAAGACAAGAAAAAATCATCAATTTTTGAAGCGCGAAATGGCTTCAAAGGTGCTTTGCAATTTGCGGTGGCATGGCATACAAATAATGATAATAACAATATTATTAATTGTTAAATGTATATAATAAATGTACTTTGCGGGCTTGTATGTCCTGGTATGTGGTCGGGTGAGCTCCAGGCTTCAAAACGAAGGAAAAGGTACGGACAACAGTGAATCGGACACCGAGGCGTGTGCCGGGTTGTGCTAAGAAGCTGGCGTTCTCTTTTCCTCGTTCTGAGTCCTCCGGCTGCTCTCTGTAGCGACTGGGGTTGGGGCGGGTAATGGAAGTGGTTGTAATAATTGGGTTGTGATAATGGTGGTGGTGGTGTCAATGGCGTTAGGGAATGCATCAATAACATCGTGCAGACGGCGGCCAGGCAGGAACAACACATGGCTGTGCGGGAAGGGAGGCTTCATATGGATTCATGGGGAAAGAAACGCACACATACACATTGACAGATAGACAAACTTCCAGCTAGACAGACTTCCAAGCCCATCACCTGTGACTTTCAAACTACGTGTGTTTTTTCGTATGATGATTTCGGATGCCAATTGAGGAATTATTGGTTTCCAACTACGCGGGGGGGGGAGGTGCAATGTACGGCAGGCAGTGTAAGCTATACGAGTAGTGTCGTGGTATGCAGTGGTGTGGTGCAGCCACACATTTAGAGGGACGGACATTTAACGCAGTACTAACCCGAACCCTAAGCTGTGCGTGGATCGCGTGTGGGCATGCATAATGTGTGTGGATGGATGTGTGTAGGAGGGTTTTTTATGTATGGCCCTCACACCGCGGCCTCATTACATTTGCGTGTATGGCGCAACACACGTATATGTGTATTGGATGAGAGTACAGACGTACACACAGCCGCCTGCATATGTGCCGCGTCGTGGGTGTTTAATTGTGTGTGCGGTGCTGTGCTTAGTGTCCTCCGTTGGAGCCCCACAGTGCGCGTGGGCGTGCGCGTGGGCACATTGCATCGCATCACATCATCCACCACATCTACACCCGCTCACTGGGGACTTTTCTGGTCATACATGTATATACGTGAAGATGGGATTCATTCACTTAGGCCATTACCCACACAGCACTTAAAAATGGCACGCATGAATTGCGTGCTTTGGGGTTTCTCTCGCACGTGGCACCTACCGGCCATGTTTTGGGCTCACTCGGGCTCTCGTTTCATACATGCATATGCTTAAATGCATTTAAGCGTAGGTGATGGTGGTAGTGATGGTGGTAGTGGTGGTGGTAGTGATGATGATGAGCAGGAGGAGAAAGGCCACCGAGTAGCTTGAATGTCATGTGTTTCACTCTGGGAATGGTTTGATCGTGGATCCACATCCGTGTGGTCGTATGGGGGTTCTGTCCTGTAACGGGTCATGTGGTCTCATGGCCTCTTCACAACCACACCTTCATACGGCCTGCAAACACAGTTTTCACGCGGTTTTCGCTTAAATTGGACAATGAAAGAGTTTTCTTGACTAGTTGCCGTACCGCTTCGGGGTCGTACAGACGGAGGGGTACCTTGCAGGCAGGAAAGTTGTGCTTGCTTCCGTGGGAGGGGGCGAGCCTGGTTACCGAGCGACTCTGCTTCTGGAGCCTGTAGGTTAGGCAGAAGCCGCAGCGGAAACTTGTCAGTACTCTCTGACGCTATGAACTCGCGAAATTGTTCTCTTCGTCGCACTCCTGCGACTTACCCTAGCCCTGTACGGTCCAGCCGTACGCACCAACGACATTCAACCGAGTATGCTCTCTGCAAATACACCGAAAACCTTGGGGTTTTCTTCCGTTTTACTCAGAAAACCTACAGTTTTCTCGTCGCTGGCCATATGGACTTTCGATGTTAATAGTTGACATTGAAAAATAATAATATCGGAACCGTAAGAAACTTGAACAAATGTAGATCGGAACTTGAATTAGTAAGGCTTCAAGTACAGCCTGTCACGCTGACTAGTTGGACAAGGCTGTATGCTCTTCTGCGTGAAGGCAGAATGACTTCACCAGGAGAGCAGCAAGAATTAAGTCGCCACTGCGACCCAGTTGTACGACAGTACCACAGAACCAGCCTTAGGAGCTCCGGTCGCTTCGCTCCGTCGCATCTAAGCCAACAATATATAGTCCGTGGTCTCCGGCTTTGACGGACCCCGTGCGGAATTTGTACCTTTTATAACAAACTGGCGTTCCTGGTACAGGTAGTGCAACATATGTCCGTGATCAGACAGTATCAGACGCATCATAATAATCGTTCTCTAGTTGTAAGCGACTGGTGCTCACAACTACGGGGTTTTATGGTTTAGCTTTGCCAGACTGTTTTAAAGGTATCCCTGCTCCAGTATTTGTAAGCTTAGTATCCTTCTTCTTCCTTGTCTCTAAACCAGCCGCCGATGCCGAGGCCTTGCAGACCGGCGGCCAAGTAAGTTATAATGTGACGCTTCCCCCAGTCGCCGACTGGAGCCAGTCCCTTTTACTATTGGCCAGCTTACTGCCCAAAACCAGCATCGCCGCCACCGTAGCTGGGCTATCACTTCCCCTTAAGCTTTCGATGTCTAGCACCTAAGAAACTTACCATTTCGTATCTGAGTTTGCTGTGCTGTGTTGTGCTGTGCTGTGCCGGGCGTACAAGCGGGACACTGCATGGATGCTACGCCGTGATAAAATAAATTTTCTTTTTGCGAGAATGAAAATCATCGCTGCAACTCACACTGCTTACTTATTACTCCACTGTTTAATTTTAGTTGAAGAATTGGAGGTCCAACGGCCACCGTGTTTTTTTGTTTGTTTACACTTGGGGTAGGATGGAAGAAAGGGATTTGATGTTACGACCGACCGACAGACAGTCAGACAGATCGACCGGCCGCACAACACGTGGCCTCAACACAGGGCCACAGATGGCTAGGTGACTATTACTGCCCACACAAGGATGAAACACTTGGCAGTGCCCCACCTGCAGGCGGATCTGGAGCCGCGTCGGCGTCGGGTCACGTGCCGCCATACACCCATCACCCGTCACCCGTCACCCGCCATACACCCATCACCCGTCAAACATAAACCCGCACACCTCATCACCCCCAGCCCAGCAAAGCCCAGAGGACCACCATTACCACCCGCATTGCTACCGGTGCTCATTAGCGCCCGTCTCTCCCACAGCTTAGTCCACATGATTATGGCAGAGGGGGAGATCCAGATCCGCAGAACTCGCAGTTCTTCATATCGACTACAAACACCCGCAGGCCCCCATCAACCCAACTTGCTGCCTCCTGCAACATACCCTACCCAGCCGTACCCTAGCAAACCCAAATCCACCCATTGCAAGCCGCCCTCGACCCAGCTCATCCAGCAAACCTCCGCTCATGGCGCGAGCCCATCACATAAAAGAACCCCGGCCCAGCGCAGCGCAGCCCCCTCTCAGTACGGCTACCGTGGTACTGCTCCCCGTAACGCCGATTTGGCCGCATCGGGCCCACCCAGCCCTCGATCCAGTCCGCCTCAGTGCTTGTCCTTATCCGCCTCCTCCAGAGCATTAAAACTGTTTTTTATTGGGGGGTCGAGGAGAGGCGGAGGGGGAGTGGGAGGGGGGAAGGGGGCAAAATAGTTACAACGATAACAACAAAAGCAGCTGGGCATTCAGTGAAAAGAGAGTAAACATTAAGTGGAAAACCCTAAGTGATTTAAGATTGAGTAGACATCAAGTGGTGATATGAAGACCCTATATACTCTGTGCAGTGGGGCCGATGGATGGAGAGCGAGGGCATGATCGTGGGCCAAGTACCCCCCCAGGGGTACTTGGCGGCCCCCCGCCCAACACCGACCAGCCAGGGCCAGGTACTACTGCGGGGAAGGCACGCCCCGTCCCTCTTCCCCCCCCAACACCTCTCGTGACAGATTTTCCTCCTCCCACCCAGTTCTTTCCCCTCCCCTTCCCATGCCATTCCTCCACCCCTTCTATGCCATCCATTTCCCCATTCCCATCCTCACATCATGCGCTTGATGGGCCCAGGTCGCGCCATTCCAATGGGCGTAACTCCGTACATGTTCTCGGTGTGCAGCGGCGCGCGCTTCTGCAGCAAGTACTCTATCGAGTCTCGTTGGCCGAACCAAGACGCGACATGCATCGCGGTCATGCCCGAGGCCGTGGTGTGGTACAGATTGGCGCCGTTGTTGATCAGGTAGTCCGCCACTTCGATGTGGGAACGGGAGATGGCGCAGAAGAAAGGCGTCCAGCCCTCCCAGTTGACCGGGTCAACGTTGACGCCGTGGTCACGAACCAGGAGCTGATGGCAGAGAAGGGGATGCGAGAAGGGGAGGGCGAGAGATGGGGTTTTAGGTTTCGGGGCGGCGTAATAGAGAGGGTGGGGGACTTGGGGTGTGGGGGAGAGGTTGGGTTTGGAATTTTGGATGGGATGATGGGTGGAGGATTGACTTGTTTGCTTGTTTTGGGGGAGCTGGCGAGAACGAGGTAAGCTGATTAGGGAAAAGCTGAAGGACGATCGTCTTGAGGGAGGGAAGGAGGGATGACTGCAAGGCAATGACGGGTTACCGATTTTAGGGTTCAGCATGACACGATGACTAAAATGTGGTCACTAACAGAGCGAATTTCGGGGTATGCGGAAAAGTCCTGCAGAGCGGTGGGGGTCAGAGATGTGGTGCGCTGTGGAGGTAAAAACGGCGTCCAGCAGGGCGGACCCGTAGCTTCAGAAAGACGCCATATCAAGGCCATGTTTTTGTTGGTGTGGCTCAGATCCGTAATGGCACTAAGGATGAAGAGACTTACCCTGACAATCGCTAGCTGGCCCCATGTCGCACCGATGTGAAGGGGTGTCTCCAGGTGAACATCAGTCGCTTCCGCGTGCAGCTTATCCTCATTCAAGATTAAATCGTCAAGGTCGTCAACAGCGCCTCGGTACGCAGCCAGGCCGGCGGGTAGGCGCCCGGCTTCATTGAACTTTGGCTGAATGGGAGGCTGATTTGAGTTCCATACGGAAAATCCTGGCTTGTTGCTCACTGATAGCTGGGGTTTGGCGATTGTTAAAGCCATGGAAGGCTAGGTCCTACGGCTATAAGGATGCCACAAAACAAGTGCCTTCACCCCAAGGAGAAGCCTCAAACGGAAGCAATGCAAGGAAGCAATATCAGAGTTTAGTTTAGCCCCACTTTGGGCTGGGTCTATGCATAATTGACAGCATGGAGCATCAGCTAGCCAGGTCCCTTGTGGGTTTCTCCTTATGCTATGTATATTAAGAGAGCAACTAAGAACTAATGAAAATCAGTCTAGGTTTAAAACTTTCTGTCACTTCGTGAGCAGGTCGCAACCTAAGACGTACGCTTAACCTCGTCTCAGCCCTATACCAGGAGGTACCGGCTACAAGCCTGAAGCAAGCCTGAAGTGTAAACATTACAAAAGCACGCGCATAAGTTGGGCCTCTCCAATTATGCCTTTGCGCGCCAACGGTTGCCCTCTTCCAACACAACGGTTTTGGGGTACGGGAGAAAGAAAATAGCACATTTTGCATTATCTCAGAGGCATTAGTTAACATCTATGTATCTCCCTTTACATAGTTGTTATGTCACTGCTGGAGGAAGTGCCAAATCGGGATATGTTAAATCCGTGTGAGTCCCTTGGGCAGGCATATCCCCAACGTGTGGCTACGTGACATGCTCGGAGTGAACAGCTTCCTGAAAGATTACATCAGATCGCTTTTGGTGGAACTTTTGTCTGGTGGGGTCACGTCGCTAGGTGCACTTGAATGGCGTGGCCGCTGCGTCGTTATTTCAGGCTGGTGAGGTATTCTGCTATGTCGTCAAGTCGTAGTGACTGCGCACAAGCTCAGCAGGCACTTCAAAGACGCAACTTCCCGGCCTTTGCACTGCGCAGCTATGGTGGACCCTATGCCTGCTCACTTTTATGGCGTTGCCGCTGACCATTTGGGAGTTCCAGAAGCAGCATTACGATGTACATTATCAAGGTACGGTCGAATCCTGCACCTTTTCTCACATTACCATCACTTCATCTCGCACGCACCATCACATCGACAGCTTCAACACCTGAACGCGAAACTTACACCCCTCGTCTATCCCCACCTAACGTCCCGCCCGCGCAGCATGGTTTATCGGCGGCATCTTCGTCATCCTCTCCATGCCCATCTCCATTTACGAGGTGCGTGGCACCCTATAAGCTCCAGGCGTTGCATTGTGCCTCATTGCACTTTTCAAACAAACGCAGCGGGTCTCAGCTCCCCTACATGTACGGGAGCGTCATCCCTGAAACCCTCTGGGCCGCCCTCGTTACCCCCTTTCCCTCGCCTGAGTTCCTTACCTCTTTATCGCCAACCAACAGCCCACGTCATCTCGCCCCACCTCGTTACCCTGCCCGTGCGGGGTTTTCCTTTTCCCCCCTCCTCGTCCTCCTCGGCCCACTTTCTCCCCACATTTCCTCTCACCCAATCCGCCCACCCATACATGACCCATCCATTCACCCACATGCTGCACCCTCCGTCCCCCTTCCTGACACCCGCAGCTGGTTCATTGGCCACCGTCGGCAGTTTCTTCTTTCACTTTTGTCCCACCATCACCCGAATCCCCCATCGCCCTAATCCCCCATCCCCCTAATCCCCCATCACCCTGAGCCCCCATCACCCTAATCCCCCCTCTTCCACACGCAGATCGCTATGCACACCGAGTACTACACTCAACCACGCCTCCAAAAGCACGTGATCCGGATCCTGCTGATGGTGCCCATCTACGCGGTGGATGCCTGGTTCGCGCTTAGGTTCCAAAAGGCAGGAAACGGACACCTAGAGGGGCAGGACGGGGCGGGGCGGGGCGGGAACTACATGCAAATTGCGTACAGTGGGAGCTTTTCCGGGAGGAAGGGGGCGTGTAAGGAAGGGAGGGTTACAGAGGCTTGGGGATGGGAACGGGGGCAGGGAGGTAGCAGGAGGAGAGGGTGGATAAAGTGGGCTCGCCGGGAGCGGGGAATGTTGAAGGGAGGGGAGGGGAGGGGAGGGGATGAGCGCCTTCCATAATTGAGAGGGGCGATTGCGACCGTGGTCAGGAAGGACGGGGCGGGAGGTGGGATGGGATGAGACTTGGTGGTGGGTAAGGGGTGGGGTGGGGTCGGGTTTGTGTTTATGTTTGCGATCTGTGGTAGGGGGTCCCCAGGGTAGCAGGAGGGGAGGAACAGCGGGAGTGCGGATGAGGGGTAGCAGCCTGGGGAGCAGCATCACCCGGCAGTAGCAGTAGCAGCAGCAGGAGGAGGAGGAGGAGGAGGAGGGACAAGGGTATTACAAGAGGGGCAGTAGCAGCAACGGCAGCAATAATATTAGCGGCACTAGCAACCGGAACAGCGGCGTTTTTCTACCTAAGTGCACATTGGTAACCTCTACGGCCACTACGGCAGCACCAGCAACCGCGGAGGTTTAGCAGCACCAGCAGCAGCTACAGCAGCAGTCGCGACCTTGAGGATTCATTCATCATCATCATCAGCTGCTGCTCATCATCGCGCCCGGATGGGCTTATATATAATGCTGTTAACTACTACAACCACCACTACAATCATCACTACAACCACCACCACAACCACCGCCACAACCACCACCAGGATTGATTAAGGGATTGGGAGGAGGCATATGGGGTCCGGAGAAGAAGGCCCTACAGATGTGGACCCATAGTGGGCAAACCCGGCCCCGGCCCCCCCCTCCGCCCCACGCGGCCCTGCCCCCCGCCCCCGGTCCCCCCTCACTCCTTCAGGCTCGGGAGTACTTGGACCCCATTCGTGAGTGCTACGAGGCCTTTGTCATCTACTCGTTCTTCGCGTACCTGATGGCTTTTCTGCAGGTGGGGAGGGGAGTAGGGTGAGGGCGGTGGGGTGAGGGGGGTGGGGTGAGGCTGGGAGGGGAGGGAACAGCGAATTGGGTTCTAGGTAAAGAAAGGAGCGGAGGGAGGGTGGGGAGAGGGCAGGTCGGTTCCTACTGTGGGTGGATCGGAATGGGGCGGGTGTATGAGCAGCTGGCGGCATGTGGCGCTGGTAAGTAGTAGTAGGTGTGTACGTGGGGGGAGACGAACCACTGTGGGGGCTGTGGGGGCTAAAGCCGTGGGGGCCGATGCCCCACAATGTCAATCCCAAACCCCAGAGCGTTTGTATGTATGTAACGCATGCATGTGCCCGCGCTCTGTGGCTCTGTGTGCTGTACGCACACCATTTGAAGTGCGGCTGAACGTGCGCGTGCATCCATCGACGCATGCGTATGTATGTACATGTATACGATGTAGGACACGTACGGCGATTTGGACGAGCATATGAGCAAGAAGCCGCAGATGGAGCACATGTGGTTTCTGGGGTGGCTGTTGCGGCCCTGGGATATGGGTACCCGGTTTCTGTGGGAGTGTAAGAAGGTGGGCGAGGGGAGGGAGCGGAGGGAGAGGGGCCTGGCTCGAGAAGCTCGAAATGGGGAAGCTGAGCTTGGTTGGGGACGGGGCAGGGCGGGAAAGGGGGCAGGGCGCATCGCGTTGCAAAAGGGGCGAGAGGGTTGCGTGGTGGGTGACATGATGTAAAGGGAAGGGGGACGGAAAGAAGGGGGACGGAAATCATATGCAGGAAAGGGAAGGGGATCGGAGTTGTCAGAGCGAAAGCCAAAGAAATAACTGGCCGTGGGGGGGTGATGACCTAAGCATCTGGACGACGGATTCCGAAAATGAAAAGAGGCGAGGGGTGATTTAAGTGAAGGGGCGACCGCATCCTGGGTGCTTTTGCGTCGTGTTGGGTTGGGTCCGTCATATCTTTCAGGGGGTCAGGGGCAAATGGTGGTGGCAGGCAACCTCCACATAGCTTTGGGTGACTTCAATCCAGGAGGCCCGTCATCACGCGGCTGTCATTAAGGACGTTTCTTTACCCTGGCTGCCTGCCTGCAGGGGGTGCTGAATTACGTCATTTTGCGGCCCATATGTACGGCTCTCGCCTTCATCACTGACATTTTCGACAAGTACGGCGAGGGTCAGATCAACTTCAAGAAGAGCTACGTGTACCTGGCGGCTGTGACGAACTTTTCGCAGGTGCGTGTGCGTCTGTGTGTATGTTTGTGTGTCTTATCCATATCTCTCGCCCCTGTCCTCTCTTTTCCCTCTCTCTCCCCTGCTTCTTTCTGTGTATGTATGTATATCTGCTATAAGTTACAAGTTCCGCATGCACGTGCGGGGATGTCCTTGAAAGCCGGGGGGTCATGGATTGGTATTGAAGCGGGTATATATACGGGTGTACGTACGGGTATATGGGGGGCTATCGTCCGCTCCAAATGCGCAGAGCCTTTGCACAACGTGCGGTATGAAAGTCCTGAAAATGCATGGTCAAAGCTTGTGTTGGCGAAAAAATGACACGACCCAGGTTCGAACTGGGGACCTCCTGTGTGTGAGACAGATGTGATAACCAACTACACCATGTGTCAAGGAACCGGTTGAATTTTGCCTAAAAAATTATGATCACTTATAGCAATGTCGATGTGTACGTTAAAGAAGTTAGCATGTGTAATTTGCAAAGCCATCGTTATACAAGTTACAAGTGAATGATGATTCCACCGTACAACTGACGGTGGTTTTTTGGTCCTGCTACCTAGACCTCGCCTCATCCAGTCACCCGGCATCCGTGGAGACAGATCAGCCATCACCACTAGCTCAGCATGCGAAACTTAGTCAATCAACTAGACCTCATCTCCAATCCTCAGCAGCAATTAGTTGACCTAATTCTCCCGATTAATGTCGGGGGTCTGCCCAGGAAACGAATCCAGAACCTTCATCTAACACAAAGGTGTCACCAGACCAGACATCATAACAGAGAACACTATCATGTGTCTATGTATATCTGTATGTATGCGTATGTATGCATATGTATGTGCCACTGGGTAGTGTCCGGCAGCCATTAGAAACGGGAGGGAGGGGGGGAGGCAGATAGCTGAAGCGAGCAAAGGCCCACTAACGCCTATCGAGGTCTACTGCGTCCACTAGGACTAATCTCCTAGCAAGTCCCCATCGCTGACACCCGCTATGCTCACCGCCGCAGCTGTGGGCGCTCTACTGCCTGGTAATGCTGTACACGGCCATGCACACGGAGCTGATTCCCATTCGGCCGCTGTCCAAGTTCTTGTGCATTAAGGCCATTGTGTTCGTCACGTTTTGGCAGGTAGGCCAGGGGCTGGGGGGGTGAGGTCCTGGGCGCCGCTGATTTATATTTATATTCATCATTACCCCGTATTGCGGAGCTAATACACAAAAGTATTAGCTACTTCTTTCATAAACTACCAATCATCATTGAAATAAATCATTGAAATTATAAGCTCTTGGTCGCATCGGCGTTGACTTGCCTTGCACACGCTTAACATGGCGCATGCTACTTTTTGGCGCACCGCCGCAAGTGCAAACACGTATTTGCTTCTTATTGCTTACTTCTTCTTACCTATCCTTCTTTCCTGCGTTTCGCTTTCTCGCCTCGCTGCGCTCATCTAACACCCTTTTAAAACCTCCCGGAGATGATTTGACTGTGTAAAACCCTAAAATTTAGAAACCGGGAATTACAAAATCTGTCGTACGTAATGATGCCGTAATGGGACAGGGCATCGCGATAGCCATTTTGGTGTATGCGGGTGTCATCAAGGCCGAGTCGTGGTACGTCCAACAAGACGTGGCTTCCGGTATCCAGGACTTCCTCATTTGCATCGAGATGTTTTTGGCGGCACTAGCTCACGCCTACGCCTTCCCCCCCAGGGTGGGTGGGGGGGTGGGGGGGTTTTGGGGGCGCACGCACACGCACACACACACACACGCACGCACACACACACACACGCACACGCACACGCACACACGCACGCACACGCACACGCACACGCACACGCACGCACACACACACACACGCACACGCACAGTCCCGCGCTTTCAGACCTGTTCCTTGATGTACCTTTGAGCAGCCTCGGGGGATTGGTCGGGGTGTTGGTTCCCCCGGAGGGCCCCCGGCTGCATGTGCGCGTGTGTTCGGTGGTGAGAGCCGACCTCCCTCCGACCCTACAAGCCGTCCACGTTGTCCCGTCCCGCCCCCGTCTCCTGTCCGCTATTTCCCCCGCTCCTCTCCAGCCTCCCACCCCACCCCACCCTGCCCGTGTATCACTGGTATCTGCTTCATTCGCCAGTGGTTTGTCTTTACCCCCCCCCCCGCCCGACACTTACATACGGACCTACATACCTACAGGACTACATGGCCGGGCATTCGAAAGGCTTTTTCGCCAACGTGCGCTACATCTTTGATTTGAGGGATGTGGTGGATGATGTGGGACTGGTGAGTGCGTGCGTCGTGCGTGAGTGTGTGTGTGTGTGAGGGGGGAAAGGAGAAGGAGGAGGTG